AGCACTCAGTCGGAAAAGCGCTTGCACATCTATATTCATTGCAGACTTATTCACGATTGTTAAGACATGGAACTAACCCAGATATCCACAAACAGATGAATGGATGGAAAAATTGTGGCACATATACTCCATGGAATACTGTTCAGTCATAAAAAGCAACAAGACCCTGGAATTTGATAGAAAGTGGATGAATATGGAAGATTTGTTGCTAAGTGAATCAAGTCAGGCTATGAAAGAGAGACATTGTATGTCTCCACTTAACATATACTGATTGTCTGCACTCTATGGTAGAGACTGAAAGACTGGAGAACATAAAAGTATTAAAAACTGGAATGGACACTAGAGACAAAGTGGAAAGAGAGTGTGGGAGGAGAAGAGCGTAGGAAATTTTTTTTGGGGGAAATGGAGAGGTAAGACATTTGTAGGACACAGATAAGGTTTATTATCTGTTGACAAGAATGTGCATGGTGGTCTCAGTTGGGCTGTACTGAAGTGTATATCATGCTGGGTAAAGTATCTTTACAATCTAAATTATGTGTAGTGATTAAATGTATAAATAATAAAAAAATGTAAATAAAAAAAGATGTGTTTGCAGATTGGTTGCCAGCACGCCACAGCGCCACCTGTAGGAGACATGCCACACCTGAAGATGGCACCAGAGGAGAAACATGGCTACAAATGTACCTCTTGCTCAGGTTTATGTTTATTAGATGCCCAGGCCAGCAGGTGGAAGGGCATTAGCCTGAGGAGAGATACCTTTTAGGAGAGGCATCTGTAAAACCATTACTTTGTCCCAGTTAGGATGAAGACACACTCACATTTTTGTAAATATTTACCAAAGCACTTTCTAGTTGTGAATAAGGATGTTAGAAGTGAGATGCTGGCAGAAGGGGGCTGAATCCCTTTCTGTGGGGATTTCCTCTTTAGAAACAAGCTACTTCCGGGGACCAGCATATGGAGTAATGGTTATGTTGCTGGACTCCCATGTAGTCGACCACGGTTCTGGTCTTGGACCCACTGGTTTAAAACTCACACCGGGAGCATGTCCAAAATTCTGAGAGAAGAATAAAGGATAAGGGATTGCAGCCTGGCCATATCCCCTGAGGGGTTATATCTTGCTTTCTGCCCGTCTCTCTCTGTCTCTACGACGAGTGTATGTACCCTATAGCAAAAATCTCTAAAAAAATAAAAATACTGCTTCCTTTTGTCCAATGAAATGTCCCCAGGATTGGAGTGGGGGTGCAGGGTGAGGTTTTGGAGTTCAGGCTTCAGTCCCAGCCTGGTCCTCATTTATCAGCCTGAGCTAGGCCTGTAGCTACTGTTACACCTCTCCAGGGTGGGGCCTGGGGAGAACATTGAACATTAGACCCAGCATCCAGGGAAAGCAAATAACTCCTCATAGAACATGGAAATGGGCATGGCGTCTCTCTCCCTTGGTCCTCTAGAAAGGGAGGTTGGGCAAGTCCAGGGTCTCTTGGCAGCTACATCCAGGCACTGGGAGCCATGAGGGATGAGAAG